ATTTAAGTGCAAGAGCCCAGACCCCACACAATTATGATTCATCCGTTATTCCCTCCCCCCAGTCAGACATGGAGAGGGGCCCTGCAATCTCAGAAGACATGGGCTCTTTAGCACCCTTGATCATCCCCATAGTCACCTCTTAGTCACTGCTTCAAAGTGGCTGTAACCTCAAGGTTTCAGAGTAGCAGCCGTGTTAGTCTGTATCCGCAAAAAGAACAGGAGTACTTGTGGCACCTTAGAGACTAACAAATTTATTTGAGCATAAGCTTTCGTGCATCCGAAGAAGTGGGCAGTAGCCCACGAAAGCTTATGCTCATATAAATTTGTTAGTCTCTAAGGTGCCACAAGTCCTCCTGTTCTTTTTACCTGTAATCAGTTTCTTAATGTATGAGGCTTAGACTTGCGTGTTTTTGCTTTATTTTGCTTATGTGACTTACTTTGTTCTGTCTGTTATTGCTTGAAACCACTTAAATCCTACTTTTTATACTTAATAAAATCACTTTTGTTGATGAATAAACCCAGAGTAAGTGAATAATACCTGGGGGAGCAAACAGCTGTGCATATCTCTCTATCAGTGTTATAGAGGGCGAACAATTTATGAATTTACCCTTGTGATAGACCCAGGCCAATTGGGTACAGCAGAGTAGTAGAAGGCAGATATACTGGCCACTGGATATGCATTTTTCTGTTCCCTGACTGACCAGAACGGGGGCTCCAGGCTAGGGTGGACACATGACTGCAACTAACCTGCAAAGAGTCAGGTGAGGCCGTTAAGCTAATGTGAACACCTGACTCTAATTAAGGCCCCTCTGATACTATAAAAGGGCTCACTCCGGTCAGGCTGGAGAGAGGAAAAGGGAGCCAGAGGAGGGGAAGTGCGGCTGAAGGGCTGGGTAATGAAGACACCCCCAAGCCACTGGAAGGGAGCCCTAGGGTAAGGGTGAAGAAGGTGTTGAGAGAGAGAAGCAGAAGTGCTGTGGGGAAGTGGCCCAGGGGAAATGTAGCAGCTCTGGCAGTGAAAGGTCACCTGCCAACAGCTGCTGCCACTAGGATCCCTGGGCCGGAACCCGGAGTAGAGGGCAGGACCGGGTTCCCCCTAACCCACCACTACAGGAACACCACCTGGGAGGGGAATACAGGCTCCTGTCAGGACAGGAGTCTAAACTGTCCTTGAAAAAGCCCATAGGGACAGCAGAGACTCTGGGAGTTCTCTCACCAACCTCCTTGCTGGTTTATGATGAAAAGGGCCCAGTAGACTGTACCTTGGCCCTAGAGAGAGAAGGGCTCCGTGGAGGGTCGCAGTGAGCCTCTGAGGCTACCATAGACCGCCTGGAAGCGCGGGTCCCACGGAGACAAAGTCGGAGCTTTGCCACACCCTGTATAAGCTTTATACAGAGTAAAACGGATTTATTTGGGGTTTGGATCCCATTGGGCACTGGGTGTCTGGGTGCTGGAGACAGGAGTCCCTGCTAAGTGGTTTTCAGTTAAACCTGCAGCTTTGGGGGCGTGGTTCAGACCCTGGGTCTGTGTTGCAGCAGGCTAGTGTGTCTGGCTCAACAAGGCAGGGTTCTGGAGTCCCAAGCTGGCAGGGGAAACAGGCTCAGAGGTCATTTCAGCACGTCAGGTGACAGTCCCAAGGGGATCTCTGTGGCCAAACCCATCACAGTGGGTTTGTTTACTCTGGAGAAGAGAAGACCAAGGGGGGACATGAGAACACTTTTCAAGTACATAAAACGTCGTTACAAGGAGGAGA